TTTGGTGAACAGCTCCAAATTTTCTTCAACGGAGAGTCTCCAGACTGATTAGCGGGTGAAATCTTGAAAGCTTGCGAGATCAGGATGGTCTCACGAGGCTAAGGGTTCTCCAACTCAGTCCTCAAAATCTACTGCATAGTTTGTAGATTCATCCCTGCTCCAAAATTCCTGAATCAAATAGTGGTTTGTTACGTGGAGTCCATTTTCAGTAAGGAGGTTTAAAAAAACTCAGATTTAAATCCTCAACTCTAAATTGATCTAGACTAAGGTTTGGAAACTCTTAGTTTTCGTTTTCATTAAGGCTACTGTAAGTTAGTTTAATCAACTCTGAGTAGGTCCACTCAGAGTTGAACACATGCGTAATAACGATAGTGCATCAATGTATCTATTTAGGTGATATCATCTGGCAGCAGGTGAAGATGAAGTCTAAAAAATGTTGTTCTAATAGATGGAACCTGTTCATCATCTCATGGGGTTGCTCCTCAGTATGATTCTCTCTTCCATTACACAGTAAATACATAGTGACTGTTTGCAGCCATTTCAGATGTTGCCGTGGTAGAATAAATCAGTAAAGCTAATACCATTTCCTATTGGGGATGCTTCTTATTTTCTTTAGATATGACGTGGAGCGTGTGAAACAATTTCTTTCGAAGAGCTGTTTAAAACAGTCCCTTATTGTTCAATCATTTGTTTTTTTTTAAACAAACTTCTTTTATCCTCAAAATGATCACCAGAGAAATAATGTGTGTGCTATTTAAACTACAATCAAGCCATGCGTTAAGGACACTGTAGCCTGCTTCACCTCTAAAGAGATGCTGCTCTTTAATTTATTCAGGCATTTTTAAAATGTTGCAAATAAAAAAAACAACAAATTTTTCTTTTGAAAAACATGCCTGTCACAAAAGGACATGGCTCTAAAATAGCAAGAGAGAAATCATGCGTAATGTCATCAAAGGTCGTTAGGGTTGTGTGCTTTTTTTAAATTCACTTTTATTGAGTTGAGTTTTGTTTTGTTTTTATCCTAGTACATTTATCTGTGAATAAAGATTGAGAATCGGTTTTGTTTATGTATTTTGGACTTTCAAGATCTGGGGTCCATTTCACGAAGCAGGTTTACCCAAAACTCTAAGTTGTCTAAACTTGAAAATAGGGAAACTCTGACTTTTCCGGTTCACAAAGAGAGTTTTTACTAACCTCCCTTTTTTAGTCACCGTAGTAACATTCTTCTCTGAGCTAACCTGGTTGGTAGCAGGTTTATTCAGTAAACTCTGAGTCTCCTTTGTCTCTGCTCTCCTTAGAACCAATCATGCTCTTTTATTTCCTGATATAGTTAGATTTTTGTTGTAGTTTTGTGCATAAAAAATATATATATATGTATATATCAATCACTAGGTCCGTTACACACATTAGGTTTTAAAAACAAACATTGCATGTCTGTTTGAGAAGGATCTAAAGAAAAGATTAAGATTAAAGAATGATCAGCACTTTTTCACAGAGAATTAAATATTAATAGGGAAAGGATTCTACAACTCAGTGAAAAGGGCATGCGATTTATTTTGTTTTTGGTTTGTTTAATATGTCCGAGATGTGTATCATTTTATTTTTATTTAGTTATATTTACAGTACATGAAGAACTATCTGAAATTATTTTCAGATTACACATATTTAGATTCATTAATTCTGCGGGGAAAAGGAATTAATTTAGGGTTTGGATTAGGATTCACTCAATGATAACAATCTAATGAGCCTACTGGCACAATCTGAGGGCACTCTGTGGGACCGATAGCCGGTTATAACGG